ATCCGTTGCCGGACACGGAAAAAGACAAAAGACAAAAAAAATAAAAAATAAAAAAATAAAATAAATAAATAAATATTTTCTATATTGCCAGATTGTCCATTAGCCATGAATATAAAAACATTGCTCCTGATACACCATTTTCAGTAGACAATGTACTTTAACATAATCTTTACTTACAAAAATAATGTTAGGCAGTTGTAAAACTATTAAAACAATTTAGAAATATATAAAGTTAGAGTTCTATTTAATATCACCATGTAGCCCTGAAATAACTTAATTTTCCTTAGAGGAAAGAACTTACATTCTTTCCTATTTGTTTGTGTGTTTTTGTTTATTATAAAAACAGAGATCATGTGTACACATTGTTGTGAAGTTTACTTTCTATTTCACTAGCTGTGCATTCTAAGTGATGTCCCATAGAATGCGTAGTAGAGGTTGTTTTTGCTGGGATACATGTGCACCAAGCCAGCCACATTCTTTCATAGGTGTTTAAGGTGAGACACACCCAAATGTGAAGTGCCTGGCCCAGGATTAGAAATGTGCCTCGTGCCCACAGAGCAAATATTTTTCTCTGTTTGAGGCTCTCTGGCTAATGTAGGAATTCAATCTTGGCCTCTTCTGCCCTGTGATTCAATAGGTTGAGGGGAATTTGTGAAACTGAACATTTATGGGCTCTGCATTTTAATTCTGGTTCCCCCCCTCCTTTTTTTTTTTTTTTTTTTATGGGTCCCTCTACATTCTTTTCTGTACATGTCAAGAGATCAGGTTGGTCTGCCTTGGAGATAAACATAGTACTGTGCCAACATAAAGTGATTTAGAAATGTTAATATATTTTACTAAGCCAAAGTTTCTAGCACATGTATTTTAAGCCATCATAAAACATATACCTGTCACGTTAAGGAATGTGCCGAGGGCAAGTATCAAAGCCCTACTGTGGGAGTGTGGGGAGTATGTTTTGCTGTGTTGTAGGGTTGTGCCCTGACAGCTCTGGTGAGGCCTGGGGTACTGGCAGGGAGTGGCTTATAAGTGTTGAAGTCATTTTATTTATTAGTGTAAGAATTTCTACAAGTAGTTTTTCCTGCTTGTCCATCTAAGTGTCATGGTGCTCAAGGATAACTCTGTGTTGGCAGATGGATGAGGGTGTAAAGCCGGGTGGATCTGCCCAGTTAGGGAATCAAGTTAACAAAACAATCAGAGGAGCGAGAGATGGTGCTTTGAGCTTCATGGAGAACAAAATGTTTGGACAGAAAAGCGTTCCAGACATTTCTTGTTTCTTTGAATAAGAAGTTTAATGTGCCTTTCAGCAAGAACATTGCTGGCTCGGGGTGGAATGGTATAGCCACTTTTGTTGCTGTTATTTTATTCTTGTGTTCTCCATGGCAATATGTTATCATTTGCAGTTGGTGGGACATCAGAGTGTCATTAAATCTTATTAGTAAGATTATCTCTAACTTAGTGGCAGGGCTTTTGCATCAAGCATTTTGTAAAGAAACAAAATGATGTTCCCTACATCTGTCTGAATATTTGTTGACAAAAAGGACAGAGAGTTGTGATTTTAAGTACGTTAAATAATCATATATTAAAATTTTTTTAAAAAGTGGAAAAATGACTGTTAAATGTGTATTCCCACCATTTTATATCATCCATTCTAGGTAAATAATAAAATAAATAATAAAGTATAAAATTTAAAAACAAAAGCAAATAATGTTAACAAAAACAAGGAAGCAGTGTTGCAAAGAGTGAAGAGGAACAAGAACAAATTGTAAAGTCAGCAAGGAATTTAAATCACTGAACTTCACTTTTTTCATTTGTAAATATATTGTAAATGTATTTGTAAATATATGTTTGTAGGTATAATGAAATCTACATCACAGAGTTGTTTATGTGGTTGAAATGAGAGAATATATTTAGAAGTTTAAGAAAAAAACCAGTGCTCAGATTCACTCCTAGGGCTTTCTTGAGCAGCCAGTGTTGTATGGTGAGAAAAGCATGTGAGTTGACCTTGTGTAGACATTGGCTTGAACTCCAGCCTTGCCATTCACACTGTGCGTGTGCAGATGAGTTCTTTAATCTCTCCGAACCTCTGTTTCTTCAACTGTAAAGTGGCTTTTCTCATATCACCCTCATAAGATAAGGTAAAGTGCCTGGGCTCTGCCAAAGCCACAGGGCTTGCAGGTTCTCGAATCTGGATGGGGCATGCATGCCCCCACATGTGTGTGGCACGTGCGCTGCACCAGCCACAGCTTCTCTTCCAGTGTGTGACCGTGCCATGTCTTTTATGTTTGCAGCTGTCTTCCAGAGGACCACACTGGGCATGGACACCTTTTTCCATACCTGGAGGAGCACGGGTGGTAGCATAGTCGTCCGATCACGAAGCTGCTAAGCCATCCCAGGCAGAGGCGCCAGGAGAGGAGGGCAGCGTGCAAGGCCACATAGCCATGCCTTTTGGTCTGAAGCTCCGCCGGACACGGCGCTACAACGTCCTGAGCAAGAACTGCTTTGTCACCCGGATCCGCCTGTTGGACAGCAATGTTATCGAGTGCACACTGTCGGTGGAGAGCACGGGGCAGGAGTGCCTGGAGGCTGTGGCCCAGAGGCTGGAGTTGCGTGAGGTAAGAGCATGTGTGCGTGCATATGTGTCTGAAGGAGAGAGCAGGAGGGCGAGCTTTCCGGGGGAACCAGCCATCTGCTTCTTGGCACCTGCTGTGGTTTTCAGCCCAAGCACTGTGTTGATAAAAATCCTGTTATTCTTAGCATGGGCGTGATCTTATCTGCCTTCAGTGGATCAGGAGACCGGTGCTAATGTTGTGAGAAGCAAGGACACCACCACCAAGACCCTGCAGGGGGTAGTGGGATCTCGTTTGTTTCAGCAGGTCAGGAGGTTTTGGGGGAGTTAAAAATGAGATGAAATGACTCTCCCACCAAAGTCATTTTCTCTCTTTAGAAAAATCAAGTGGGTAGCTGGTATTTTGGCATTCTGGCTGCACATCAAGGGAGAACATGCCCACATACGGATGGGTGCAGTTGCTTTTTGTTTGTTTGTTTCTGTATTTTCCTCTTCAAAAAGAAAC